GCCCGACTGGGCGACCCCGACAGTTCCGGGGCCGCCTCCGCCATCGGTGCCTTTGCGAGCTCCTCCTGGGCTAGGGGCGCCGACCGCTCAGTGCCCGGCTGGGAGGCGCGCGGAGCCTCCTCGGCGAAGGGCGGCGCCACCTGGGGCCCCGGCAGAGGGAAGGCCCGCTGGGCTAGGCGCACTCTGTACGAGCCACCTGTCCGTTTAGTTCGCTTCACCAAGAAGCCCCTCGGCATGGTGCAGCCGGGCGCGCTCGGGGGCCAGGAGCAACGGGCCCACCACGGCTGGCCGCCGCGCACCCCGGCCCCGCCACGCCGCGCCACTGAGCGAAGACGCAGGAAGGTAAGGCCAGAGTGAGCCGGGGCTCCGCGTTCCCCAGCGCAGTCTCCTGCAGGGACCGTCCAGTCCGGAGCCGGGCAAAGAGGCCGCCCACGACGTCCTCCGAGGGTCCGCGCCCCGCTGTCCCCAAGGCGTGGGCATCGGACTGCAAAGCTCCTGCCCTGCGGGAGGACAAACGAGGGAAACGGACCGTGGGCCGTGGGTGCCTGGCAGACTGCGGGTGGGTTCACGTCCTCTGCCGGTATCGAGCTGATGAGCAGCTGAGACAGCGGCGGGGCGACTAAATCCACCGCCCTGTGCCTACGCTTCACGGTGGGAGCACGTCTGCCATCCGGTATCGATCGGGACTGCGCGAGTCTGTGATACTATGAGAATTCATCTGGGCAGAAGGGCTCTCAGTGCGGGAGATCGTGCGTGCTGGCGAGCCTCTGGAGCTCAGGACGCCGGCACGTTTCTGGGCCCTGGTCCTCAGGGATTCTAAGTGCCACCTCCCTGAGGGGAACGGGTGTGGGAGGGGAAGGAGGATCTAATTTTCGACAGTCCTTACATAAAGTGGTTTCTCTGTTCACACTTTCCACTTGTACTATCCAGAGACATGACTTCATGCCTAACTGACCTGTTTAGCATGGAGTAGACTGAGTGAAAGATGCTGGTGGAATCAGCATTACATCTGCTTCCCCGTCCATGACAAGTGATGCTTTGCAAAAGGTGTGCTGTAGACTAAGCTCAGCCGATTTTCAGCGACACCCTGCAATGTGTGTGTCGTTGTAAGGACTAGAAGATATTTGAAAGTTTGTAACGCTAGCTGAACTACGAAATAATTAGACAATGTATAGCAGTTTTAAATACTGAGATCCATAATATAGGTAAGTACAGTGTGAGAACAGGAAGGGAAAACAACTATGTGTTCAAGTCTCCTTACTAAATCAAACTGGAAAAAAACAGACTGAGGGAGGTGTTTTTAAGGCAAAACATCTAATCACCAGTAAAACATACTGCCTTCCTTCTAGTGAATAAAGTATTTTTACATGGTGAACATTATTTGGAGGAAGATTTTATAATAGTTATGTATTACGTTTTAGGTATTCTGCTTAAGTAACTTCTAATCCCAATCTCTCTCTCTCTCTCTCTCTCTCTCTCTCTCACACACACACACACACACACACACACACACCTCGAGAAAGGAAATATTATTACCTTTTTTCAATTCTCTAGGACTGAGTCATAGAGAAGTTAATATCCGGCAACAGTCACACATAGCCCAGGTTCAAACTGAAATCTGGCTAATTCCAAACCTCAGGCTCTTTCTACATACCAATGGCTTCAAACTAATAGTTTTTCCTTAATTGTATCCACAATGATGTTTTATAGTACACATACGCATAACTGAAAGTTTCACAAAATAACACTTCTCTTAATTAGGTGCTGTGCATTCCATTTTCTATTTAGTTCTATTGTTTTCTTTTTAATACTGGTTATATGTAGCAAACCAAGTGATTTCATAACTCATTAATAGATTAGCACTCAGTTTGAAAACCACTGCCATTATGTTATTTCCCATCGAATAGCATGAAATCATACAAAATTAAATAAGCTTGTTACTTTAAAATCAAAACTAACATTGCAAATCACTATTTTAAATATCTGACTCTTTTAATATTGTTGATAAATTTAGTTTCCCAAATTGATCATTTCTGACTAGTTTCCCGAATTGATCATTTCTGACTTGTCAGCTTATATGTGACTTGTTGTCTGATGCAGAGTCAACCTGAATCTTTCTCCTTTCCTTTTCCTCCTTATAATCCAGACATACTGTGTGGTGTAGAAAGTCCAATGTAAATTTAAGACAGCCCCTTCTCCCCACAGGGTGCAGCACTTTGTAAGAACTGCTGTCACCTATTTTCCAACAGCTCTTCCTTTCCTTCTCTCTAAGTGTAATTTGATAACAGTCTTTACAAAAATCAGAATAATGTTGTATATTAGGACCTTTTTAAAAATTTGTACACCCTTAACCCACCAATTCCTTTTATAATAAGTCATCCAAAAGAAGGGCAAGGATTATACACAAAGCCGTTATCATAATTGTAAACTGTCAGCAACTACCTTTAGTAAATCATGGTGTAGCTATTCCACAGATGATTGTGTAGCCATGAAGTGCAATGGCATGGATGAACAGGTATACATGACATGAAGCAAAAGCAACAGGATGCAGTCACCTGTACGGCAGAGAGCTCAATGGTTAAAGAGCAAGCTATACAAAACACGAGAAGGAAATATGCCAAGATGCTGGTGGGAGCGCCTCTAGTTCAGAGGAATTTAAACAGTCTTTTGTTGATTTATTATTTTTACGTTCTTGTGAAACTATTCTGCAATAAATATGTTACTATGATAATATGTTTCATATTTCCTTTTCAGGGTTAATGTAGTTCTCTTCCCCTAGGACACTGCAACATCAACTGAAGAGCTCTACAATGAGCAGCAGTCTCCAGGTCCATCTGTTTGAAACCCAGCCCTAGGAAAGAGGTGACAGGCTTTCGCATCACAAGGCTTCCAGTTGACACACTGGGGAAGAGGCTAAGTATTAAAGGTTAGAAAGGTAGGAAAGAGAAAGACTTCAGATGCATACTCCCCACATGGGTATGTGATGATCCTTCAAGATTTGAAGACTTCTATTTTGTCACTCGGGGATTAGGATAAACAGCAGTGCTCAGGAAGATTGAAATCTTTGTATTATGGACATTCTTTCTCTTGACAATTCCACCTTTTCCTTCTGTAAGCACCCAGAACTTTCATCTGCTCTCAGTTATACTTTGAAAAAACTCATACATAACCCAGCTGTGATGGGTGCATGCAATATGGTGCCGCTGCACAAAGCTGGAGCCACATGGGAAGCCTGTTTGGATCCCAGGTCAACCGGAACACCTGGTGTGTGCCTGCACATGACCGTGATCCAGGCTGATTGGGAGTCTGTGGGAAGGATCGTGGCATGGCCAGACCCTGCCGAGGGCACTTGTCTTTCTCTGACTCTCTCTCTTGTGAAATAAACAAACTTCTAAAACAATCATACATATTGGCTATCTGTCAAAATATTTACATTTTATGCTTCCTGTCTCTGATTGTAGAATAAATTACTTTGATTAAAATTCTAAGTTTTGAGACAATAGAAATTAGGGGGGAAATTTTATCATTTGTCGGAAGGTACATTTACTCACCAGAGAGAAAGAGGAGAGGAAGGTGGGAAAGCACTCGTTATAGGAAATGGTCACTTCATAGTCCCTTCTGCATTTCTCTCTCTTTCCAGGATTTTAAGCATGCATGCACATGCACTCTGTGTTTTTCAAGCTGCTGAGTCCAGAACTTGTTAATTACCAAGCCACAGGCTGGCCCTGAAATTAAAAAAAAAAAAAAAAAAAAAAGAGGGTTTTTTTTTTTTTTTTTTTGGGGGGATGTCTCTCCA